CCCTTCACTTTATTAATTTTTCCTTCTGTGTTTTAATGGTTTACGAAGTTCTATGTAAAGTATAATACCGATTCTCTGTATTGCAATGCGTCTTGATTTCCCAAGACTGGTGGTGTTATATTGGGTTTACGTTATAGATCAATGGCGTTGCAAATTTTTCAATTTCCTCTTACTTTTATTTCTAGGTTATTCATCTCTTTAACTTTCTTTTCTATAAAATGATGGTTTAGCTACCTTCGGCAAGAAATAAATCTATTTTTACACGGAAGTAATTGTGCAGTTTTTCCTCTACTTGTTTTTTTTGCGGGCAGAAATGTTATTCTTTTTGTAATTACATTTATGAGCAAAATTATTTCTTTTACAGTTTTGCATGCAATATATTAAAGCAAATTAAGCACACTTTCCACTATATTCGTTAGCAATACGCAAGTATTCTGTACTGGCAAAAGCCGAGTTCTAGCTTCTTGATCTAAGAGCTTCTAAAATTTTATTTATTCGAAGGAAGCAATTTCGAGGAAAATACATTTTGAAATCAGGAAAAGATCTAGTGGGAAGTGGCGTAAGCAGCTAAAAAATTTACCAGTTTATATACTAGAGATAATACCACAGATGCTTTTCAGGATATCTGTGGTATTTCAGGAAAATTGAAGCACTAGTAGTTCGTATTCACCATCTTGAAGTTAAAGAGAAATGTAATTTAAGTAAAAAGGTAACAAACGTTTTTTCCTATAAGTTCCTTTCAGAAAAGTGCTAGTTGAGATAAACAGACCAAAGAAGGCACTGTAAATTGTAGCTAAACCAAGCGCAGAAATTTTCTTTTACTAGCAGAGATAAATAGTGCTAAGAATTCTTTTGGGCACTCTAAATAGATATCATAAGAATTACATTTTTATGAGACATAATCATAACTCTTGTTAAAATATTCCTTACAACACTGGAGTTCAAGGTAATAAAAATTTTTGTTAAAGTCTTCAGGCGTGGTTATTTTCATTGCATGCATGAGAGAAAAATGTTTTGAAAAATTCAAAAATCACACTAAAAATCAAATAATTCTTCTTCAAATATTTTTATTAGCAAGTAAAATAAATGAGGTTGTAGGGATTTATATTTATTTTAACTACTATTTTAAATTTTAAGTTCAGACTTTTCTATAAGCCTTCATTCCCCTAATTGTCAGTGCCAGAATTGCTAAATGTTCTAGCGCGCCTAAACGCATGCAAATTTATATGTTGAAGGAAATAGTTAAAAGCCGAGTTTCGAGAGGAGAAAGAGAGAGTTGGGATCTAGCTGCCGTCTGTGCCGTAGGTACGTTTGCTCATTGCTGGTTCAAGTGGCTTAATTTGCTTTGCTTTGCTACCACTAGCTTAGAAGGGGGTTGAAGTTCGGGACTCGCTGAGCCCAGAAGGTAAGTTTAGCACTTGTTAAGGATTTCAACTTTTAATTTTCAGTCACCTGCTTTTCAGTTACCGCCTAAGTAGAGGCGAAGTTTGTTAGCGTCGAGTTGACAGAAGAAGTTAATCTGCCTGGACCCTACATTGGCGCTCGAACTAATACGAACCAAAAAAAGAAAATGGCCAACGAAGAAGTATCTCCATAAGGCTTAGAAGAGGCAGACCCAAAGGTGACCTCCCGTTAGATGGATTTGGCTTCCTAATACAGACGATGAGGGCGGCACTTAAACCAGCAGCATTTTTAGAAGCTCTCGAGACGCACTTCCAATTGTATCCGGTACCGGAAAGGCAGAAAGTAGCTATTGCTTCGAGTGCCCTCCGAGGACAGTGCTTAGCTCCAAGCTTGGTGGAAAGGAATTGGGAAATTCCTACTTGGCGAAGTTGGATCACTCACCTATACAATCGACAATTTCAAAGGGGCACTCCTAAAAGCGTTCCCGATAGTTAAAGATCGTGCCAAGTTTGAAGCCAAATTATATAGCTTCTATCAACGAAGGATTGAAGAACTAATCGAATTTATCCTACGAAAAGTCAAGCTAGTGAATATGCTATACCTAGACTAATTAGATGGGCCTTAAAGTTATACAAGAGCACAACTTAATAACTAAGCATACTCCAGGCAAAGAAAATACTGTGGCCGACGCGCTATCAAGAATCAAGATAGATGACAATGGGAATCAAGTAAAGTGCGCAATTTTTACGTCTAAAATTTTAGATTCCCGGGAAACTGTCATTTCTGAATTGAGAAAGGATCCAGAATTCGGTAATATCTATGCTTATTTAAATGATCCAGATGATTTCGATCATCCAGACCTTGCCGCAATTAGAAACAGAGCCAAAAATTAAGAGATTGTAGATAATTTACTGTTTTATACTAGGTCTGCGAATGAAAACTTCGAATATAGGACAGTCATCCCAGCCGCACTACGGCTAAGCATTTTTCAAGAATCAAAATCCCGACCGCTGGCCACCTCGGGGTAAGGAAACTAGCATATGATTTAAGAACTGCCAAACATGACACGACCGGGAAAAACGTCCACTGAATTATTTCTGGGTAGAAAGATTTTAACCCTACTCGATAAATTATTTTTCGTCTAAAAATAGGAGCTTGAATTTAAGCAAGCGAACATTAAAAAACTAATGGATGAAGCGTTAAAGGATTCAGATATAGCAAGACAGCGGCAAAACGTCTATTATGATAGTAAACGCCGCGAAGCAGATTTCAAAGTGGGGGAAAAAGGTTTTAAAAAGAAAATTCACTTTGTCTAGTTCTCCAGAAAATTTCGTATAAGTTTGCACATAAGTTTGAAGGTCCCTACGTCGTGCAACAGATTGTCGGGCGGTAATTTATATTAATTATTTCACATTCAGGAGAAAGATTAAAAGCCAGTCCGCAGTTTGTCATTTTGTTTTGCCTGTAACACTGAAATAAAAAAATAAGCAAGAAGCAAATTAGACGCAACAAACAATTTCGCATTAGGCAAGATTTCAAAGCTGTCAACATCACTTGAAGAAAAAATTAAAAAAAACCTACAATTGCATTTAAGAAATAATAAATTAAGAATATTTATTACTTGAACTCGTTTCAAAGATAAATATCTCGGATTTCAGATTTAATGTTTTTACAGAACGATTCCAAGGAATGCAATTAAATTTTAAATTAATTAGAAATATTAAAAGGCCTTGTAAATATGGGTAATTGCGAAAAAAACTAAAATAATAGATAAGACAGTAATAACTTCCAAGAACTGAGTCGCTGAAATATGAGTTCCCTTTAAATTATATATATATATATGATAGGTTTTATGAGCTTTGAATGCAATAACAAGGAAAATTTCCTATCAAGGAAAAGATATTAGACTTAAATACTTCGTGAAAAGTTTTTTTTTATTTTATTAAGCAAACTTTGTTTAAATTCAAATGATTTGCATTTACATTTAATTGGCTTTTCTTTCAGTATATAAAAATAAAAACATGCTGATAGGGATGCGGAACTCTAAATAGAGCCTTAAGTTCCAAGAAATTTTATTTCTTCAGCAGTGTTGTTACGTATTTACTCGAGGGAACTTTCTGCGGTAGATGATGACTTACGTTTACTTTTTCCTAGCTTCACAGTAACTTTCTTTCTACAGATCGAAAAGTACATTAAAAATTTTTTTATATCAATAAGTGTTTATGTGAGTTTTGCTAGTGAGTGCTTAAAAGCAATTTACTTGAAAAGAATGGAAAACATTACGATAAAAACAAAAATAGCTTTTTTTAGTAGTTCAGAGCATTCTACGAATTCACTAACTATACCAAAACAAATTATTTTATTGACTTTAAAAATATAACCAAAATTTCCTCAGATTTTCTCAGAAAGTTAAAAAGGGAAAAGGTTACAATATACTTTGAAAAATTCGAGATTTATATTTATTTCTTCTTTTATATTTTTTCTTATGTTCTTTGATATGTTAATATATTTTATATTTATATTTCTCAGAATTGAAATCATTTCAAACATACAAATAGAATTAATTGTTATACGGTTGACATGTAGGAAATGTTTCAGATGTGAGAGGGACGCTGTAAAGGTATTCTGTCTAACGCTGGTGCTCGCCGCTTCTTTGGCGAGGCACACTAATTTTGTTATTTTGGTGACTCTGTTTTATGGATGTACCAGGCGAATACAATCAGGGATTGCAAGTGTTTGTATGTTTGGTAATAAAGTCTATTCGGGGTCTATAAACGTGCTGCCATTACTTTATCGTCTGGTTTTCAGACTCTATACATCCAGAATTACAATTATTATACATGTTTATTTTATTTTACTTTTATTTAAATATTTATAATTATATTTGTTTAAATAATGTTAAACATAAAAAGATAAGCCACACATTATTGAGAAGTTATTAAATTATTTAAATGAATGCGCACAATATGTAAACTGACATACGATGCGTACAGATTTCACAATAAACAGATGACGCATTTTGAATTTTTTCATTTAAATTGTCAATTTATTACAAATGGCAGATACAAGAACTTAATAACCTATATTATACTGTTACTTGCTTATCAATATATAATTTCAGGGCCATTAAAGATGAAAATTAATTACTTTACTGTTGAAATGAAAATTTGTTGCATCATCAAATAAAATATAGCATTATTTTTTAATATTGTTATCGAAAAAAAGAAGGTTAGGATTCTATTTAAAAAACTATTTTTTTAAATGTGTAATCTTCAAAAATGTTGAAATACTATTTAAAAAAGGAAAATATAAAATTATCTCCTTTAAATTTCAGTAAAGGCTACTTAGGTCTGTAGAAAAAAAGGCAAAAGGCAATATTATATTGTGGTTTCCATTAGTTTGCCCAACTGCATTTCTGCTAAATACTATTACTTTTAACGCTATTTTTAAGAAATTATTCTCTCACAGTGACATTACACTTATATAATTGTTCTTTGATATAAAAGGCCTAACTAAAGTTCTATATAAAAATCTTTTATACAAGAAAACAAGAGGAACACTTTGATATTAGTCAACAAGCATTAAATTCTACTTACAAATCCTTGAGTGAGCCTCTAAAAATCTGCAGAGTTCCAGACCTAAGTACTGACATAGAGACAGATTCCAGAGACCTGCAATGAAATCAGTAAATTGTAAGGATTTAAGCAAAAGTTTACAGCACACTACAAATAATATCGTTTAATACTGCTCTGAAAACTGATACTAAGAAATAGGTAACAGTTTCTACTTTAGAGATTAATTCAGAATAAAACATAGATTAAGCAGAAATGTTTGTAAATTAGAAACAAATTGTTAATTATACAATTTTTTTGGAATTAAATTTAAGTATATAATAGGATTAGTAAATACAAATGCAGTTACAATATGAGCTACTTTGAAACAAGTGAAATTAAAGTAAGATTTTGTGACTGAATTGATACTGGATGCGTTTTAAAGAGATAATGTAGTGTGTGTGTGTGTGTGAGTGATTATGGCAAAGCCTCGAGGGCTATCTGCTAAGGGGAGGGATGCCTTCGTGGAGGACTTTCTAAGGGAAATTGGCTCGTATACACGTTACATATGGGGAAAACCACGAAAACGCCCATGCAGCCAGCCCGTTCGCGGGATTCGAACCTCAGACCGAACTACCAGTATTCAGCGACTTTACCGCTCGGCCGCTGGTGGGCAGAGATAATGTAGAGCTTTGCTAATAAGGCACTTTGTTTCTTAACAGCAATAGTTAAGAATCATCTTGGAGAAATAGGATATTTAATTTAACTTTGAATTTAGAAAGTTACGTTGCTTATGAGTGCATTTGTAAAAAGGAATTGAAGAGTTTAAAATCATTTGTTAACAATAATACATTGATAATTTTTCATAGCCACAAATTTGTTGACAAAAGTTTTGCTGACAGAACTGGAGGTTGTCTTATATTTCCTTTACTATTCCAAAGGAAAAACTGACAATTGTAATTTTATATGCACTTATGGAAAGTAAAATGCAAGCGTCAAATATAAAGTATGTCAGGATATCGCAATCAAATCCTAATGCTATGCTGAATTTGAAATTTTTTTTGCATTTTTGACCTCTACAGTAATCATTCCCCAAGCTATTGAATGCAAGCTGCCTAAGACGAATACATCCCACAGGAGTTTGTTGAATTTAGCTTTGTGGTATGAAATTTCAAATTAGAACAATTAAATCGGCGAAAAGCATTTCTAGCTGTGTGGGGATGACGTCTAATACTCTTCCATATATTCCATATGTGCTTGATAGGGTAGAGACAGAGAAATGTTGTTAGCCATGGCAACAAGTTAATCCTTCGAACAGTACTTTGTATGCAATTACGGTAAAGATCGAGAATTATCTTATTGAAATAAAGCCTTCAGCGCCATAATGAACTGCAGCATAACGCTTCCGTCACAGCTCATATAAATGCTGTCAAAACCATGTTGTTTGGGATAACAAAAAGGAGTCTTTCTGTTGTAAGAAATCCCTTCCCCCCTCATAACGTCTCGGGAAAGGTTGATATATCGATTTTGTTGTTTGACATCTAAATTAATGTATCGACAGCTTTGTAACAAGGTTTCACCTAACTGCAACAAAACCGCTTCCTTTTAATTTATGTATATCTTCCCTAGTCTTCAATCATGAGCAACTTTAATCTCTGAACATCATTTATCTTCATAACGTTTGCGAGTTCTAATTTCCATAAATTGTTCTTCCAAGTAGATTCTAATTTGGCACTGTTAAAGTAGCATAGAATGGTGATTTACGCGGAAGACCGAAGTGAACATTGCTTTCCAGTAAATGAGTAAATACTATTCACGCAGTAAGTTCGCTGTCATTAAAATTTAAATCTTCTCTCCTAAAACCCATTTCATTCACAAGGATCATCTGTCCCACAGCACTAGTCGTTTTCACTATTGATGTGACCACTATTGCTGTGGGACACATCAGACTGAATCCCAGTCCTCGTTTAGAAAGCTCTCTCGGGGAATACTATAAATATAGAATAGTGTTGGACAAAAGCTTTCATAAGGGCGGAACGCGGTTCTTCTAGCTGCTTAATCCGGTTCGTTATGAAATCTAGATGTACTAGAAAGTATGTGCATCCGCCGAAGAACATGGTCCTATCACTTCTGGAGCTATAATTTAGAAATTAAACAATAATGCTTGACTATAGTTGAGATAAAAAGACTTATCTAGAAAGAGAGCTTAGAATTTTTTATCCCTAAACTTTTTATTTGAAAATAATACAGTATGTATGTCTATCATATGATAATCAATAAGAACAAATCTTGCTTATCGAGTATTTTAAAAATGTCTTTCATGAAGGGGTGTTCACCTTTCCCCCGATTACATGCTACAAAAAATAATATCGGCACCACAGAAGATCGTAATACCCCTGCCCGTATGATGCTCTAAAAATATATTTATGGTCCACGGTTAAAAGTATTTGACCAACACTGATGCAAGTTATTCTCTCGCTCTATTTTTTTTTTTTTTTTTTTTTTTGGTAAAACAGAATCAGAAAATTTATCTTCATGAAGGCCATTCCTCGTTTTCTCAAGTCTTATCCGAAAGTTAACTATTTATTAATTATTATGTGCATTGAAAGGAAACTATAAGGTATTTCTCCGACCTCCCTAGCGTGCCTTCGTGGTGTAGTGGTTCTGCACGCTGGGCCGGTATTCTAGAGGTCCGTGGTTCGATTCCTGGCGAAGGCGTTGCTAATTTTTCATCTCTCCGGCTTACAACATCTTCCCAATACCTTCTCTCAAGAGGCTCAAATGCAACCGACTCTTCCTCCAAACCTGTACTCACAACGGGAAATTCCCAGGTTATTACAGACGATTCCTCAGACGGGACGCCGACTGTTCTTGCGGTTTTCGCGGGGAAGACGCGGACGCACTTCATTATCTGCTCTCCTGCCCTTTGACAGAACACCTTCGACAGCAGTTCTTTCCTTCCGACTACATCACATATCCTGTGAACAGACTGTTCACGGACTATTACTGCAACAAGGGCATCTTAGAGATAATGAAGCAAGTGAATGAAAATGATTAAATCCAAGAAACTACAGATTAATGTAAAATGTAGAAAGGCGGTCTAACCGTCAGATTGCTAGCAATGAATAGGATGACTTCCTAAACTTGTAGTGCCATTAACTTAGTTTGGCGGAACAGGTTAAGTAAAGTGACCATATACCGTATATCTCTTCAGCTTCGAAAAATTACCTAATGTCTCTACGAAACCTCATTTATATATTCAGTGTGTATATTCAACGCTTAAAGCCACTTATGTGTCAAGCCTTCGTGACTTTTTATACATCACATGTTTATAGGGAAAATATGCTGCTTATCAAAACTTTTGTGACTTTTATCAAATTCTACTTCTTGAGAATGAAATTTTTACAGCATATTCTTATAGTTACGCATTTATAAATATTAGAACATCTTAAAAACATCGAAAAATCTTCAGTACAACTGAATTGTTTGTTCTAATTAAGTACTAAAATATGAGCAATAAATGAAAAAGATATTTAAACTCAACTAAATTTAATTTAGATAGACTGCAATAAGTATTTTCAAGGCTGATTATTTTGTCAGGTTCTTCGGTTAATTAATCAGTTATTATGATTTTGGTCTTTACTTAGCTTCTACTTTCCGTATACCTCAGCGGAATGCAAATGAGTTTTAAGTGAATTTAATATGAGGATTTTGGATCGTTGAAACAGAGAGTTTCTGGCAATCGCGCCGCGCTGTTAGATTTTTGGAGCTCTGTTTAAAAGATATTATCTTGGTTTTGAATTCATTCGTAGCCGATTGTTTTGAACTTATGCGCCGGAAAAGTTAGTTAAGTCAGCTCATAGCTTATTTATTTGACTGATACTGCTTTTATCAGTGTTTAAACTGAAGTAACTGTTATTGATTAATTTACATCGTTATAAGTAGTGATTATTTGTAGCACAACTCCTCCCTAGTTCAGTTTAATATAAAGGTTGTTTAAACCTTCTCAACTCTCTATAGTACTATTTTCATGCGTAGCGATAAATTGCTATTTGTCTAGTAAGGTCTTGTCTTGTAAGATTTTGTGTTATTTGTCTGTGTTGCTATTTGTCTAGTAAGGCCATGTGTTGCTATCTGTCTAGTCTTGTACTCAAATTGAAACTTGTACTGAAACGGAACTTTGCAAATTACTTTATAAACATTTATACGACTAGCATCATTTGCAAAGAGATTTTTACCTTCATATTAGCCGACCAGTGGTGGAACAAATAAAACTGTGAAACGCTGGTTATCATCCAAGGTCCTGTGCTCGACGTTGGAATGTGGCAGCTGCATAAAGTTTCCAGGGATTTTCTTATGTTCGAAGTTAATATGACTATTTTATACATATCATTTTTACAACAGTGTTACTTAAACTGTTTATCTACCAACAATTATCTAAATTAAAATGAATGGCAGAAGTCAAGAAAAATATAATTTTCAGATAGTAAGGATATAAAACTATACACATACACACGTCACACATCTAGCTTGAAATAACATTAAACAGCTATTGAGATTAACTGCGCTTGTGATCAAACAAATCGCAGCCATCCATATAACATACGGATGGCTACGTTTTCTTTCTGTCTGAGCATTTATAAAGAGCCTTTTGTATGCATCTCAAAGAAATTTACACGTACACCTAGCAGAGATTTGTTAGTGTCGCAAACAGCAATAACAAAGATCTTATACGCATTCAATCACAAGACAGAAAATCAAATTGTCTGCAAGATCATTGGGCCAGGTCATCTCTTTCAGACATTTTTCTGTAGGAATTCGTAAAACTGCTATTCAGAGCATTTAATAATATTTAAGAAAGCATTAATGTTATCTTCACCCCTAAAATACCGCATACGCTTCGCAGAGTATGGCTGGAACTGATTGCAACATAGATGTTTCTCACGGTAAACGATGGCACGTATATCGAAAATTAGAGATTTAAATTAATACTATAAAACCTTTATAACTTTATGCATCGATGTAAAATATTGTACAGGATATTACTTTAAGTATTAAAGTTTTATTTTTTGTAACCAAGGATTTGCTTTGTTGTAACCCTGTATTAATTAAAGTGAATA